GAAAGAAAAAGCTGCTTTTATGTGAACTTCTGCAGACTGTGATCCTCTGAACCCCTCCCCTTACATATTGAGTATAAATCTCTGAAACTTCCTGAACTCTGGGCTCAGGGGATTGATTGATTACAGCAAAGGCTGTACCCTCTGAACCTGGCTGCAGCCAAATAAGCCTGTTTCCTGCTATCTTTGGTGCCTTGCCTCGTTTGTCTCTACAACAGCCTGACTCCAGGCCAACTTTTTCTTCTATTAGACGCAGAGTCTCTAGTTTGATTCCTAGCTCTTTGATCCATTTTGAGTTAACTTTTGTGCATGGTGAGAGAAAGGAATTCAATTTCATTTTGTTGCATATGGATTTCCAGTTCTCCCAGCACCATTTGTTGAAGATGCTATCCTTTCTCCATTGCATGCTTTTAGGACCTTTGTCTAATATAAGGTAGTTGTAATTTTGTGGATTGGTCTCTGTGTCCTCTATTCAGTACCATTGGTCTACCCACCTGTTTTGGTACCAGTACCATGCTGTTTTTGTTACTATTGCTCTGTAGTATAGTTTAAAATGTGGTATCGCTACACCACCTGCTTCACTCTTCCTGCTTAGAATTGCTTCAAAAAATGCTCACAATCTCTAGCAATCAGAGAAATGCAAATTAAAACCATTCTAAGATACCATCTCACTCCAGTAAGAATGGCAGCCATTATGAAGTCAAACAATAACAAGTGCTGGAGAGGATGTGGGGGAAAAGGTACACTTGTACATTGCTGGTGGGACTGCAAATTGGTGCAGCCAATTTCGAGGGCAGTATGGAGATTCCTTGGAAAGCTGGGAATGGAACCACCATTTGACCCAGCTATTCCCCTTCTCAGACTATACTCAAAAGACCTAAAAAGAGCATACTACAGGGACACAGCTACATCAATGTTCATAGCAGCACAATTCACAATAGCTAGATTGTGGAACCAACCTAGATGCCCTTCAACAGATGAATGGATAAAAAAATGTGGCATTTATACACAATGGAATATTACTCAGCACTAAAAAATAACAAAATCATGGCATTCGCAGGGAAATGGATGGCATTAGAGCAGATTATGCTAAGCAAAGTTAGCCAATCCCTAAAAAACAGATGCCAAATGTCTTCTCTGATATAAAGGAGGTGACTCAAAACAGAGTAGGGAGGAAGAGCATGAGAAGAAGATTACCATGAAACAAGGAAAAGAGGTGGGAGGGAATGGGAGAGAGAAGGGAAATTGCACGGAAGATGGAAGGAGACACTCATGGCTACACAAAATACATATACAATGGTGTGAGGGGGAAGGGAAGAAAAAAAAAGAGAGAGATAAGTTTGACAGTAGAATGGGTAGAGAGAGGTGATGGGAGGGGAGGGGTGGGGAGGGAGGATATGGAGGGCAGCAGAATACAACTGACACTAGGATTGCTGTATGTATACACATGGATGTATAACCAATGTGATCCTGCAATCTGTACACGTGGAAAATGAGAATTCATACCCTATTTGAATCAAATGTATGATATGTCAAGATCACTGTATTGTCTTGAGCAACTAATAAAAAAAAATCAGCTTTCCATGAACTTCCCTGGTGATAGGTACTACCAATCACACAGATCTCAACCCCCACCATTGTTTAGTGATTCTCTCAGGTGTCCTCATGGACAACCTACTTCTAGAAAGAGATAAAAGTATCCTAGATCTTGTTGGTGGACTATTCATTTGCCAAACATAGTATAATGGGTAGTTTTATGTCCTGGAAATCACTAAGTCATGCCCCTCTCTCCAGCTGTGTCTCCTGTTCTGTGAGGCCATCTTCATAAATTCCCATAAAGAAACTTACTTCCTGGTAATTATATTAGCACCTCTCAACCAACTGTATCCCAATTTTGTTTTGACAATCTCATAGTTGCATACATTTATTATTTAGAATAATGAAATAACTATCTAAAAATATTAAAAGAATTGAATATGTTTGCATCCAGAAAGTGGAATGAAGTAAAAGGGAGAAGAGGACAATGATTTTCCACAATAAATCCTTTCAAGCTTTTTCATTTGAAAAAAATTATTTTCATCAAATGCTTTAATGGGGGAGAGGGTGGTGAGAAACAGATAAAATTCCAGAGTATGATTTAAGATCAGCATAGAAAAGAGTACTGACGAATAAGCAATCTTCAGTACCGATTTAAAGGATCTCATCATCAATGGTACAAAACAAAGGGGAAAGGAGGTGTCTCTAGTTTATGTTCTTTTAGAAAAGGAAGCTATGACAATAGAAATAAATCTTATCAGTTTGAACCTACCTAAATTGGATGCTATGCACATTGAAGTTTTGTATTGAGTTTATATTGATTTTTTCCCAGTTTTTGTGAATCATTTTATTAAAGATAAAGTGGCAATGAAAATTTAATTAATATGTAAATTTTTGTTAGTTTGGCCTAAAATATTCTTTTCTCCTTCTACTATAATTAGGAATGTTTATCCTTGTTCTCTATTTCAAAAGAAATAATTTTGTGCCAGAAAGAATGAAAGTTTTGCAGTCTCTTGAAATACATTGAAATACATTCTGAGGTATTTATATTCTGTAATTTATACTGAGATATTTATATTGATATTTATTCTGAGATATTTGTACTGAGATACTTATGCAATACACAGCCTTGCTATGTAACAACTGGTTAATTCTATGATTTTTAGTCCCTGCAAATAGGTTCTTTTAGATTATCTACATAATAAAAGAATAGGGAAAACAATTAAGAATTGTATTGGGACTGGTTAAGGAAGACTTGGCTGAGACATGTTAACATACTTTGTTGGCAATGGGGAGCCATTTTTTTTTCACGATATGAAAAACAAAACAGGGCATAACTTAATATGTTATTCCCTTCTGCTTTTTCAAAAGAAAAAAGCAAACCCATGTCATAATATCATAATATAAATGTAAGTTATTGACTTGTTTACAATGTAAAGTTATTGACTTATCTAGAGGTAATGAGCTTAAAACAAAAGGTGAACACTTGAAAAGATGTTTATAAATAGAAACTAAAATTATGCAATGGAGGAAGGATAGCATCTTCAACAAATGGTGTTGGGAAAACTGGAAATCCATATGCAACAAAATAAAACTAAATCCCTTTCTCTCACCATGCACAAAAGTTAACTCAAAATGGATCAAGGAGCTTGATATCAAATCAGAGACTCTGCGTCTGATAGAAGAAAAAGTTGGCTC